GACCAGTCTGCAGAGCATATCAACGGCCTAAAAGAAATAAGTGCTTCCTTAGATATTTTAGTGCCTGACTACGCTGCAAAGTAATTATTATTAGTCCCTTGGGTTCCTAGTGGAACATAGGGCTTCAGTAGCACGTCTCTATTCCACTTTCTTCTCTGAAATCCTTTGATTCCACTCGAGAGCCTGACGCGTGATGTCCCCAGTTGGCTTTCTCAGTGTATACCCAATCCATCTCCACTTCCTTTTGCATATTTGGTGGGTGATAGGTTCTTGGTTGGTTCGTTCCCAGAGCTCCTTGTTGCTTATTCTTTCTGGCAATCCATCTGATCTTCAGTAGCGAGCCAGCGTAGGCGGCAGTTGTTGGTGAATGTCTGTAGTTTGTTGGAAATCCCTTCCGTAACGCATCAAGTCTCTGAACCATATAGAAGCACTGACTTGACGTTGGTGCTGAAAATCCGTATCTTGTTCCGCATGCTGAGTACAGAAGATCTCCACACTGGTTTCAGGCTAATGAACGCCTGTCTTGCTTTTCCGATTCTGACTTTGACATCGTAGTCTGTGCCACCTGTAGTTGAAACAGTGCTTCCTAGATAGGTGAAGGAGGTTACTTCCTTTAAGTTTCTTCCGTTCATGGTGACTGGAGTTTGTTGTTGTTGTTGGAGTTGTTGGTGCGGTATCGTCATCACCTCTGTCTTCTCTATATTCACTTGAAGTCCCGTCTTCGCTGTCTCTTCTGTCAACTTGTTAGTTTTTGCCTGTAGATCTTCAAGTTTATGTGACATCAGGCACAAGTCATCACTGGCGAAATCCAGATCTTCTAGGTTCTTTTCCGCAGTCCAGCCAGCCTATCCCCCTCTTCTCGCTCCCCACTGTTTGTTGCATGATCCAGTCGACCACAATCAGGAGTATCATGGGGGATAGTAGGCAACCTTGTTTCACTCCTCCCTGTCTTCACTTCAAAATCATCACTGAGTTTCCATTGTGAATTACTTGGCATGTGGCGTCTTCATATAGTTGTTGAATGAGGCTGATAAAGGTTTGCGGTACTCCGTAGTATTGAACCAGTTTCCAAATTACCTCTCGGTCGACGCTGTCAAAGGCCTTCTCAAAGTCGATGAAGTTGAGGTGTAGAGTTGACTGCCATTCTATACTCTGTTCTATGGTGTGTAGCGTGGCGTTGCAATTTGATCCCCATATGATTTGTACTTCCTGAAGCCTGTCTGTTCCGGTCAAATTTTGAATCCAGTGCATCCTTTAGTCTCTCCAGGATGATGCGACTTAATATTTTGCTTGCTCTGGGTGGACAGGAGCGGAGCATGATTTCTCGCCAGTTCTTGCAAACACTGAGGTCTCCCTTCTTCGGGAGTTTGACAAGGTTACCCTTCTTCCAATCGCCAGGTACCTTCTCTTCCTTCCACACCTTCTACAATAGTGGTGTGAGCGTATCCGCTGTTGTCTCTGCGTCTGTTCTCAGTACTTCTGGCGGGATTCCATCTGGTCCTGCTGCTTTCCCGCATTTCAGTGGCTTTATGGCGTTCAGGACTTCCATTTTTGTTGGAGGATTTATGTTCACTTGTAGTTCTGTGGCTGGACTGCAGGTGGTATTTCTGGACGAAGTGCAGGTGGTGATCGCTTCAAGAGCTTTTCGAAGTGGTCAGCCCATCGTTTCCTTTGTTTCTCTTCTTTCGTAATTAAATTTCCGTCATCATCTTTTATTGGTTTCGTCTGAGTTGATCTCTTCCCAGATAGCAACCTGGTTATTTCATACAATGTTATCAGGTCCCTCTTACCTACAGCCTGTTCTGCTTCACTTGCCAGTGTTTCATAGAAGTGTCTTTTGTCTTTCCATGCACTCCTCTCCACTTCTTTGTCCAGTGTTTTATACATTGTGCTCAGTTCCTCTTGTCGTTGAGCATCCTTGCACTGGTTTATCTTCTGCTTCACCATCCTCCTCTCCCTCCTCTATCAGCTTCCAGGTATCCGTCGAGATCCATTCCTTATCTTCTTTCTTCTTCCTTCCTAATACGGCTGTGCAGGTTTCTTTCCACATCTCTTTCAAAGACTACCAGTGTTCTTCCACACAGGTTTCTTCAGGCATGTTCCTCGATATCTCCCATTTTGTCTTGATGGCTGCCGTGAAGATTTCCTTTGTAGTTTCGTCCTTCAGTTCAGTTTCTGGTCTGGGTGTTGTACTTGAACTGTGGTCTATCACCAGGTTCCTTGAAGGCTTTCAACTTGATTTGGAAGGTTCCTTGCACTAGACAGTGAGTGGTGTGAACCTACATCTGCTCCTCTTCTTGACCTTGTGTCAAGTAGACTGCGTCTCCGTTTTCTTGAGATTGAGATAAAGTCGATCTGATTTTTAGTGTGTCCTGGTGTCTGGTGAAATCCATGTCGCTTTGTGAATATCCTTGTGCTTGAACACACTGCCTCACTGCAATCACCAAATCGTTGAATGCCCGGAATTCTGCAAACAATTCTTCATTCTCGTTCATCACCTCACCGAGCGCTTCTCGACCCATGGTTAATTCTCTTCCTTTGTTGTCTGCTCCCAGTTTGGCATTCATGTCTCCCATTAGAATTCTGATATCGCCAACTGACGTCTTGTCCAGTGTTGATTGAAGTTGTCTGTAGAATTCCTCCTTCTCCTCTTCATCTGCTTGATTATTTGTAGGTGCATAGTGTTGCATTGTATGATTGTGACCTTCCCTCCTTTTGAGTTGAACCTTGCTGTCATGATCCTGGAGGAGATTGGTTCCCACTGCATGAGAGCCTTCGATGCTCTTGAGGACATCACGATAGCCACTCCATAACTCAGTGTGCTCGTGGTTGTCGTCTGGTTGACAATATCGGAGTAGATTATTGATTCTCCAGTTGACAGTTTGGAGAGTCCACTCCCATTCCATCTGTTTTCACAAATTCCAAGCACTTCGATGTGATACCTTCTTATCTCCTTTGCAATCTGGGCTGCCTTGCTGGGTTCAAACATGGTGCGGACATTCGATGTCCCCACGTTTACTTTCGCTTTCATGGACAAAAGCGAAGACACATCGGTGGATTGGCTTCCCGAAGGCTTTCACCAACTGGCGTCATTTCGCCTCTCTGATTCCAGCGAGGAATAATTTTGTTATTATTTTTTATATTTTGTTTGTGCTTTGAAGTTTTTTTAGCGGTTAGATTTGTTTTAAGGGGTAGGGTTGCTAGCCCTATGCCCAACCTTCCCTGTTTACCCGGGCTTAGGACCGGCTAATAACTAGTGAACTAGTTAACCAGGCGAGGTTGCTGCAAAGTAATAAATATTACTTATCTGCTTTTCAACCATGAATAGATGATACAAGGCTGAGTACACTGCCTATGGCCTGCTTCCTTGAAATAAAAAAGCTTTCAGCAGCTTTCATCTACTGTTTAAAATAAGAGATATTCTCCCTCTTATATTTTAGCTTCAACGTGATAACCGAATACATTCTAGTATGCATTTCAGGTGAAATGTTAGTTTCCATTGTACCATTAAATGCTATAGAATATCTTCAGTAAACACCGTCTTCACTGGCGTTCTACTGATTTGGGTTGAGCACTTTGCTTTTTCAGAACTTAGTCTAATTAACTGGTTATATGCTTGACAGAATAATCGATTATCACTATCAAATTCATGCAAATTCAGGCGGCATAATCGCTACATTGGTTTCATTGAGCTTATCGTGGAAGGCAGTCATTAATCCTAATTCAAGGAGTTCATCTTAAATGTTTCTTTTAGTTGGATGTTGGTTAATAACAAGACTATATTGAAAGAAACTTATTTTTGTTTGAGAAATCCACTTGCTCCAACTTTCAGAAGACTAAAACGTTACAGTTTAACTGTAGAAAATCAAAACTGTACTAATTGATTTCAGTTCGTTAAACAGACAGTAAGTTGACTGATTGAAGTGATCTTTAATATTCGAAATAGTCTATTGTAAGATTAAATACATTAGATTTGCACATTTTTGTCAGTCATTTTACTTGCCTTATTTATCTACTCATTTTAACAGCTTATTTCGAGGTATTGCACAAACTCTCGGATTTAAAAGGTTCAAAGGATCCAAACTATCTTTCACATGGAATCAGATTGATTCATTGATCAAACTCCAGATTCTCTATCAAGTTTATTCAGTTTATTATTTGTATTTCCTGTCATATTTTTCGAGGTACTGCAACTTATTCGCTATATCATTACAGTTTTCGTAAAGAATTGATATATTTTTTTTAAAAATGATATCATGATCTGATACAAACTTTCTTCTTTCAAAATGATCCTAGTTGACTTTTTAAGAAGGTTGGTTCACTTCAACAGCACTTGCCCATATCGTCTTAAGTCATACGATTTGCTATGATTCTTCAACTAATCTATGGTTGACCATAATTCATGTGATCACCCTTTATTAGAACTTACCATTAGATTATGTAGTGTACTATCAGTTTGTCTAGTGGGTAAATAGATGGTTTGGGTAAATGGATTTTATAACAGTCTGATTTTTACATATTCATAAAAGTAGTTCCTGAATGTAAGGGTTATTGTATTTAAGCAAATAACTCAGAGTATGATACTTCTTATGAAAGCATAACTTTTACCTGGTAAATATCCTCTAAGAGGATTTAATGATATATGGAATCCAGTAATTTTGTCGCATACTTGATGAAGATAGGAAACATTTCACGAGTTATAAAAACCTTTCCATGGAAAGTCGAAACATCCGTAAATATTGCAATTCAAGCGTTGTTTTTAAGTCTGAATGCTAATCAGAACTCCAAGGCAACTTAGCTTGCACATGAATTATGTAAAATCAGTACCCTATGAAAAATTGATAAACGATTCAATCTTGTAGTTCGTTGACCTAACTGGAGTTTATCACATCAGAATTATACCTTGAACAAACAGTTAACTAATCAATTGACACCCAACCAAACACTCACTTTTAACATTTCCCCAATTTACTGAAAAACTGAAACCGATAAACAGATAGTTTAGTATATACAATTATAATTAACTCGTCATTTTAATTTAATAACAACGAACTTAATTATTTTTTTTTATAATTGGAAAAAAGACATAAAAGCACATCTGACTTTGTTATCTTTTAAATTTCACATTTTTAGACAATCACAACTCAGCTGTACAAAATGAGGCAGTACAATGAAAGTAAATAAATAAACAGACAATGCCCGCTTGTTACTGTTTCTTTTCTCTTCAAGTTAATTTTTCATTGTTTTGTAGTTTTGCTTTTATACACATGTAGACCAATAAGTAACCATCTTTTCTACCTGTTGAAAACAGAGGAAGGTAAGTACACACTGAATTGTCTCAGTGATGTTTATTTTTAAAGATAAACTCAGTTGTGTAAGTAGTAGTAGTAATAGTAGCGGTGGTAGCAGTAGCAGTAGGAGTAGTGATTGTATAAGGGATTCACTGTGAAAAAAATAATACAATAACGACATTCATTAATTAAAGTATGCATAACTATGTGGATTTATGCATGTTTCAGTGAAAACAATTCTACAAAAGACATAAGTTGAACATGGAATTATTTTGAGTTGAATTCTTTACAGGCGCAGTGTAATGCTTCTGTTCTAATAACAAATACGAATAATTATCATGTTATTCATAATAGTAGTAATAATTAAATATGTAAATGTGAACACCTATCATTTAACACAGTTATCAGTCTTAACAAATAGAAGTAAATATCTGCATATGTATCCAATTATCTATATATGCTGTAGTCTTCTGAAATGCCCTTCGCAAACAAAGATAAACAGATTTCAACGAAAGGAGATGCAAGAAATCAAGGGGAAAATATTGAAGAATAATTATCAGAGGGGAAAATAAAGAAAGAAAAATACGAAAACAGCATGCACTGATAAACAACAGACAATTAAATGAAATCAAAGTAACTTGTAATTTTATTCATCAAAAGTTTTGGAGGTACTTTGAACAGCAGCTTAGCAATATCAGTAATTGATACAGAACCTATTTTGGAAAAAAAATAAGACAACCAGTGCCTTTGTATTTTTTTTTCAGCATACCCCATTAACCAACTGAATGAGTTTAAAGCAAAAAAGAAGAGGTTCAGTGGATTTTTTGAATGTTGACTAAACCGGGAAATAATTCTTTTCATTTTTATCATATAAACAAACGAACATTGAATAACGAAAAATGAACAAATTAGTTAACTGAACAAGAGAAGAGGACAGAAAGAAATAAAGTGGAGTGAGTGTATTAACTGAAATTTCTCAGTCAACATTATAAAACAGGTTCACAAGGTATGGAAGTTGAAATAAGTTGGTAAATAATCTACATTTTGTTTTATTATCTTAAAATAACTGAAAGGAAGAAAAAACTGTGGTTTTTCGAACAGTGATTTCGTTTGGAAGTTTACCTCTTTTTGAAGTTATGTAGATAGATCAACTTCTTCATCTTATATTGAATAATGATCAAATGATGAGAGATATTCTAGGACGGCGTTATAGCAAAATTGATATTGATCTTCAGTTTGTACCATGCCAGGACGTTGTGTTCGAAGCATTCTAATGGTTTGAAACATATCTACAACTCCTTCATGTCGCATCCTTTCAAGGACAATAGATAAAGCCAGAAATACACCTGTTCTACCAACTCCAGCACTAAATAAATATTTAATGTATATTCAGTGTTTTGTGATATTGAACGAAATGAGAATGGAGGCAAAGAAGCAAAGAGTATTAATTGTAGGCAAAAAGACGATAAGTGAATTTTACTGTACATGACATCAGTTAACAGTTAGCTGTCAGTGTTATCATTATTTAAATAAAGTTACACAAATTTGTGCAAATAAAACTTTAGTAAAATATCTTTCAGGCTTCAGCTACGCCCTGATGACAAGCAACCAGTACTTAATCTAAAGCTGCATAATTTCCCGAAGACTTTACACTCCAAAAGCAACAAGCCGTTAGTTTAAAGGATAGATTGTCATTAGTAAGCTACTTGCCTATGTTTCTGCCTCTTATACTCCTCAAGTATTACTTTGAAAAGCACCATTGTGACAGAAAGCTTATTTAATCAAGATCTATAGCTTGGATACAACTAAGTCATTTAGCATCTGGGGTTAAAAATGGATGGACTTAGAGTTCCGGGTAAATAAATATATAAGTGTCACCGCTATTTTTGTTGTCATAAGCTCAAATGAGAGTTCGTCTCAAATCTCGGAGAAAAGCAAACAGTTACTTCAGTTCATCTTGAGCTAAAAATTTTACTCTACTATTTAATGCTTTGTTCATCCTTTTCGTCCAAGATGCCTGTGTCCAATATGGATCGGACTTATTGATTTTTAACTTTATTAGTGCTGAACATAGTTTGATCAAAGTCATTCCATGTCTCATCAGTATGGACCTAAAACCCATTTTAGTTCCTAATGAATCTTAAACACTAACTGTCAAATCAACATCTGAACAAAGAGCTTTTTCAATGTATATTGTAACCTGTTATTTAAAGTCGTGCCATTTAGTGCCGTTACTGTGTAAACAATTTACCGTAGCGTTTTTGGACCAACTTTCACAATCCTATTGAGGATTAATTTATCGTTTGAAGCTAAGTATTTGTTACATCTAGTGGTTAGGCCATCGAAATTCGGAATTTTTAGTTCTAAAAGTATTGTATGTTGTGTTGCATAAGGTTTTTTTATGTCACCAAATTTCTTCTTTTTATTCTTTAGTTTATAAGTAGTGAGTTAAATCAAAGTTTTGAGATTTGGTTTCGATAACGTTTCTTTATATATCTAGAAGTATGAAATGTGTAAGATTTTAGAATAAGTTCAGGGAAACTTTGACTAACTAGGCTATGAACTTGAAAAATAGACGTTCACATATTAGAAGGTTATTCGTTAGGCTGTGAAACCATAGTAACTCTTCTTAGTTCAGTGATTACAAGTTGTTCCTTGTATTTTCCTGAGGGTTTACTACATAGAAAAAGTGGATGAATGTTGTAATGTAAACTTAATTAGTAAATATTCAGATTTTCGTAGTCATTTACTCAGATTTGCCAAACTAGACCACATAACTTTAAACGATGAGAAGTGTTTATTTGGTCTTTGAACCAGAAGTTTTAATTACAGTTCCAGAACCGATTAACTTGTTTTCATTCAGTAGATGAAAATTTTTTCACAGTTCAAAATTACATACTAAGATCACTTTACCTGCAATGTACAGTGATTGGACCATCTTGTCCAAACTGTTCTTTAGTTTTGTGTACTTGTCCAAGAAAATCTATGAATGCTTCACAACTTTCTGGCACTCCATGTTCAGGCCATTCCGTGAACTGAAATTGACGAAGTGTACGCGCTTGACCATCTCGTGCATCTGTTAATTTAAATTCTCTCAGAGTATAATTTGGCATATTGTATTCAACCAGAGGATCAACAACATAATATTGATACCGAGATGACCTCTCTGTAGGCCAGTATGGATAACAACATTCCTGTATATTATGTAAAGGTAAAAACATTAGTTCTCTCTCACGATACATAACTGATAGACTGAATTCTCAGTTTACGGAGGAGATAAATTGAATTGGAAAAAAAATCACAGTTCGCTTCGAAAAAAAGGTGGGAAGGAACAACGACATACTTATTCAGTTACAGACATCAACACCCTGACTAGAAATAGTTATTTAAGTAGCACTTGCTAAGACTGACTCACTATTATTGCTCACTTTACCAGTAGGATTACCAAGAGATGAGCTACTTTATAGCAGAAAACTGAACTTTGCTACTAACACAGTAAAACACTAAGTAACTGCCGTTTGACAATTAGATCACAACAACAGTCAGGCTGTACATCACTATGAGACAGTAGAAAGCAATCTGTTTCAATCTTGAATCATCAATGACCATGGAAATAGCTTATTCAGCCTTTATATCCTGATCAGTGTGGAACAACAAATCACAGCTTTTAACACATCTCTGTTCTACTGCTATAGATAGTGAAGGTAACGGTCAGATTGAGGTGGTTCCCTTCTTATACTACACCATTGGCTATTCTTAACCGTGAAACCACTACCAATAAAAGTTAGTTCGATATATATTCTGAGGCATAGTTGGTAAAAAAATTTAATTGAATCCAGAGGGGCCTGCAAAGTCGGAGTTAACTAGAAGGCACGTTGATTAAAATTTGGTGATTTGGAAATAATGTTTACTGGTCACTGACAGTTTTTTAAAAAAATCCTAACTTACTTTCAACCTGGTTTCTTTTCTATCTCTATCCAGTGAATTTTATGTTCATTCTTACAGAAATGAACAGTTGCATGGGTACACAGTCCAGTATTATAATTGTACAAACTGAGAGGAAAGCTGCCACAGTAAGTCTAGTTTACAGTCAGTCCTCTTTTTCTCCATCTAATTATATATTCGATTCATGTTTAGGGGAGAAAACATAGTTGGTTGGCTGTGGGATAATATCAGATGGTGTAATGTTTACCCAATACTCACAGAGATATAGGTATGGCTAGTGTCTGATTCGTACAACTCAGTCATCAGGACAGTCTATCAGTTTTCAAAATGTTGCTTATTACAGTTGTGTAGCATATTAGGTTCCACACATCATTTTCTTCTTCACTATGCGTTAAAACTAATCAATGTAGACCACTACTGTTCCGGATGATTTAAATTCTGCTCGCGAAGTCACACGAACACAAATATCCTGAAAAACATAGAATGTTTTGTGATTCAACCGTTACTTGAAGATGGTTCAGTGGAATTACATTCTCTGGTAGAATTGTTTTATAATATCTAAGTTGCCTAGTGGTCACAAAGTAATAATTCATTTGTAACTACTCACCAAAATTAAGTAACGCGTGGGTATTGCATTGATCTATTAATGACTAATTCATACGCCCAGTTCAGCTGTAGGGAAAAGAATTCGTAACCGTGAAGCTTTATGATATCTTAGCTGACTAAAGTGGTTCATATATAGGCTTGGCATAGCTTGAAGGCCTTACCAAAAGCTCCTACGGACAGGGAACAACCCCAGTCGAATTTCACTTATTTCCTCTGTTATTCATTTATTTTGGATAAAAGAAGGCATATAACTTTTGGTAGTATGTCAGCCATTACCTGTTTGTTTCATAGAGTAGCAAGCCAATAAAATAGTAATTTAGAACGACGAATTTTAAGTAACTTTTTAAAGCATCACGTATCTCAATTTTTATAAACCGACTACTGTTGGTTAACCTGAAAGTTTTCATGAAAATTAAATAACTTATATACAACACACACGCTCCGATAACTTACTCGACCTCTTTCATTCAAATTTGTTAGCATTACAACAATATTAGAGTTTAACTCCCATATCATTCTCCAGAAATCCTCAACTGTTTTAGCCATTGGACCTTGAGTTGCAATATAGGCTTTCCGATCACGATAACTGTCTACAAAATTGGCATTTATATAATCTGATCCTTCAACACCACGTATCGGTTGTAATGGAACTCGAGTAGATTCATACGGTAATACATTTAATAGACGGTTTTTATTTTTGTTACACCCTAGTTGTGCTGAAGTGTATTTAGCATGCGGTAGTCGAAATTGGGCCAGTTTCTAAACAAAAGGTCAGAAAAATGACAGAATATTAACTTTTTACACGGGTTTATCAGTAATCATGTAAGTTCTTCACTGAGTTATTAGCGTGATAGCACATGTTAAAGTATGGGAAGTAAGGTAATGGTAGCTAAAATTTTCAAATATTTCGAGTTTAGAGTTATACTACTAACAATTGTACTACAGTAGATGTCAAATCTGCCGGGTAAGAATAGAAATGTCCTTTTATTATGGTTGTATTGTTTCTGAAGATGATACACCCAGTAATATGTGCTTGTACCGAAAAAATTGTTATAAGATATTGAAATAAAGTTATGTGGTTTGTTTCTACCCTGAATGGTCACATATTTGTGAACTGTAATTGAAACTGATACCTTAGCTACCATTTTATCACTAAAGTAACATCAGGCTTAGTGAATTTAATTACTGAATCTGTTTCGTTTTCAGCTAGAGTTTAGTTATTTACTACTGCTATAAATTTTCCGGTTGTCTACAGTCACATGTTTTCTTCCTTTTCCAGTGTGTTAAACATAATAAATACACCGAACACTTAATCATGTTTTACAGTTACTGACGGATAGAAAATGTCATGCTTCAGGAGTTATTCCTTATGGATACCTCGATGAAATGAATTTATGAATATACTGACTTATATATGTACATATACTTTCAACACAGTCATCTCAATTGTGTTACAACATCAACTAAAAGCTAGAAGTTTAATATATCGTCAGCTGTGGTCTCCATAAACTGTGAGTTACCACTGCATCGCCATCATATGAAACCACTAACAGTGAACTGAAATTTTGAGCAAATTTCCTATCACAAGTATATAACACGGCTAGAAGAAAAGGATTTCTGGGAGTGTTCTTCAATCCAAATCACAATTCAGAAAAAAATAAATAGTAGAGTGTACTTCCGGAAAGTATCACAATATA